GACGGACTGTCATGCATAAATCGACTCTGAAAGTGATTCTATGAAGATCCTCAAAAGTAACTATGAGTCTATCTCGCTTTCTTCTTCATGTTACAAATGAATTCACAAATATATAATACCCTTACCGCTACGTGGTGTAGGGAATAAAAAAATGGTTTGGAATTATGAAAGAAAATAAAGAAGTATAATATCAGAATGTAAAAAAATGTAAATGTAGATATTGGCGAAAATGAAAAAAAAAAAGAATCTTGAGTCTTTTATTTTTTAAGAGTTAAAGACATTTAACTCCGTTTTTTTTAGTATTTCTGTTTATGAAAACAGTCAAGTTTAGTAATCTAGCCGTTAAATTAAATGGGTTACAACCTTCCAAAAATCGGGAATTAGTCCATGAGGTTGTTAGAATTTTGTTGCCGAACTCAGGATTTGGTTTTTATGAAGTTATATATAGTGTACAGACGTTAAGTGCTTAAAAGGTTGTTGAGAAGGCGAATTATGAAAACAGATTCAATAATATTAAAAGACAATAAATTTTGTATTTGTAAAAAGCTCTTAGTAACAACTGCAAAAGAAAAACAAGTAAGCAAAGGCTACAGTCGAGCGGGGCCGACCGTTGAATACCCTACAACACTATAATAAACGATACAGTTTATATAGGCGCGATACTCGAAAGAATTCCACAAGATATTGTGACAAATTATAAAAGAAAACCATAAGGTTTCGTTCTCTAATTTTCGAATAATAGCAACTTAAACTAATTTGCTCATTTCCAATTTATTGGTAGATGTTGCACTTAAGTGGTCTTCTTAGATCTGGAACCAATATTTCCCAAAGATCTATAATCTCTCAGAAGAGGCAAAAGATTAACATTTATTATTGGTTTTTGACTGAATCGCATCTATATGAGATACAGACATTTGACTATATTCTTCAACGAAATCAGCGTTAACGAAATAGTCAGAAGTGCGTCTTTCCTGTATTTGTGAATTCTCCAAAAAGTCACTGGATTGGACATTTTCGTATTTTGTCTACAAAAGTTGGCAAACTCCTTCACACATTGAATATTTTTGGATGGCCATCCAAAACTGCTTGGCTTTTGCAATGTCCGGTAACCCCCATTCAAATGTGCGTGAGGACCGGGCGATAATTACGACCTGCTGACAATTTTGCAGTTTTTGGTCCATTTCAACCCCTAAATATATGACGATCATCTCCAAAAAGAGTAGGCTTCTATTCTGACCCTCATCTTATCCCCACGCAAAATTTCGTAAGGATCGGGCCATAAATGCGATCTGTATATAATATCCTGATATCCTAACTACTTAGTTTTGTTAGCTGTAGAAATATTACCAAATGTTTAATTCAAAATGAAAATATGCCAAAAATATGACAAAATTGAAAAAATATGAGAAAATTTTACAAAATCAATATTTTCATCTTTAGAGAGGTATTTTTATGCGATTTTTTTAGACGTTTTATGTTTCCTGCCAAGAGGCCATTCTGAATTAATGAGAACTGTCGAAATTAGTTCAGCCGTTCTCGACATATAAGAGATCTTTCAAGCATATCTTCTTTGATAAACATATATATCGCACATATTTTGCTATATATCCGATTTGTGGGATGTTAACATCAATGTAAAGGTCAGAAGTAACCTTGTCATGGCTTTGTGATTTCGCCGGGTTTTTAAATATTCGCGGTTTAATGAAAAATTTTGAATTTTTTCAACACAAAATATATGGCCTATTTTACCCGCTAAATATTATCCGATGACCACCCAAATTGGTAGGCTTCTTCCCCGTCCTAAACTCTAGCTACATGCGAAATTCCACGTAGATTGGTCTATAATTGCGACCTGTATAGCTACTGCAAAATCCGACATTCTTTCAGTATTTGGTCCATTTCAACCCCTAAACATTTGGCGATCATCTCAAAAAGAAATAGGGTTCTATTCTGGCCCAACCCCGACCTCCATTCCAAATTTCATGAAGATCGGGCCATAATTGCGACCTGTAGAGTGATTACAAATTAACATGGACAGACGGACAGACGGACGGACGGACATACATAGCTAGATCGACTCAGCTCGGCGAGCTAGGATGATCCATATATACTTTCCTATGTGGGAAACCAATATTTCGTGGTGTTACATAATTTTTGGCCCAATCAAACTTATAATACCCCCAACACATAGTGTTGTAGGGTATAACAAATCATTATCCAATTTCTATGTTCCCATGCTAAACACGTCATAGAATTAGTCTTTAGTAATTGTCTATTTATTTCCAATAAACCACTTAATTTTATTTGTAGGCAATTCGTGACCTAACGGCTTTCAAAAACAATTTCCAATTAAACTAATCCACTGACCTACTCTACACATGGTAATATTGTAGACGAAAAATTCTTTTTGGGGACACTGTTACTTTGATGTTTTTTTTTCACAGTAATGTAGGTTATGGCCGCTCTAGTTTTGACAGATTAACATTAATACACATTGATTCGAATGTTGGCTACCTAAATGTTAGCAACATAGCACCACACTTTGTTATTCTAATAGAGAGCTTTTGAAAGCATAAACCACAATTTCATAACAGAGTTGCCATTATTTATTTAAATGTTCGAATGTTAGTAGCAAATATTGCCCTAGACCAGTAGTGAAATTCTCTAGCTCATTATACCCTACACCACATGATGGTAAGGGTATTATGTTTTTGTGCATTTGTTTGTAACATGGAAAGGAAGCGCGAAAGATCCATTGTTACTTCTGAAGATCTTCATATAACCATTTTCTGATTCGATTTATCCGTCCGTCTGTCCATGTATTTTTGTGAACAGAATGCAGGTCGCATTTATTATTCGATTGAGATGAAATTCTCTAAGCAAGATTTGTTTGGCCAAAGGACGAACCCTGTTGAAATTGGTGGGAATCTGTTCAAATTTAGATATAACTCTCTTATACCGATTTCGGGTTAATTGTGTACCAAATGGCCAATATTAATCTAATTGACCTGAATTTTGGCACATCCGACCGAATTCAGTCTAGAAGCAAATATATCAAATTTGGTTCAAATACAGCTATAGTTCCCATGTATATGTTTCATCCGATTTATGTCCCTCACATGCGAAATATGCACTCCTTAAAGAGCACAAACATATCTCTGTCAAATCTTATCGAGACCTGATCAGATATAGCTCCCATATATATCTTTCGCATATTTAAGGTTCATTGTGCACCGAATGGTTAATATCGACACAAATGGACTGCATTTTGGTACTTTCGACGGAATTCAGTCTAAGAGCAAGTGCTTCAAATTTTGTTGGCTTGATCGAAACCCGCGTCGCAGTGGCCGGAAAATGGCTCGTGAGCTAAACATATCACAATATTCCATTCGACAAATATTGAAAAATGAGATCGGGGTGAAGCCATTGAAATTTCAAAAAGACGCAAAAGAGCTAAAGAATTGCTTCGCTTAGCCGAAAGTGGTGAACTGCCGAATTTGGTTTTCTCCGATGAGAAAACATTCATTGTTCAGCAGTTTGTAAACAAACAAAATGATCGTGCTTACTTGCCAAAGAGGCCAGCTGAAAAGGTGCACCTTCGGTTGGCCACCAGAAATCAAGCCCCGGCCACGGTGATGGTGTGCGCCGCCATAAAAGCCAATGATCGCTCTCCGCTCGTATTAATCGACCGTGGCATCGGAATGAATGCCGAATATCATCTCGAAATATTCCGAAGGGTGTATTAAAGCCTTGGGTACGCAAACATTTTGGCCGCAGACCTTAGACATTCCAAAAGGACTCAGCACCATCACACTCAGCACGCGCCACCCAAGAATGGTTACAAAATGAGGTTCCTCGCTTCATTTCCAGCATATAATGGCCACAAAAATCCCCGGATACCAATCCGTTGGACTATTGTGTCTGTAGTATTTTGGAAAGCAAGGTTGGCACCAAAAAAAGACAAAATTGTCGATCACCTCAAGCAATCGCTTCGCCGGAATTGCGGAAATACTGCAGAGCAACATTCGGCCAGCGTGTGAAGGTTTCATTCATTTCCGACATTTTTTGCTATCATTCAATAAAATTAAAAAAAAATGTAAAAATTATGGCGTTTGACTTTGTTGCAGTTTTTTTTTTTTTATCTCATCCTGTATATCGTTTCAGGGATATGAGTCAAAATATTGAAGTCACTCAATTATATAATGATATCAAAATACGGAAAAGTGAAATTCTTGAAAAACGTTGAAATTAATAGTTCTTAACTGTCGAATTTCCTACAGTTGTTTATATTTTTAACATTTAAGATTTGAGTGACTTCAATATTTTCACTCATACCCCTGAAGCGACTATGGCGACATCTGCTGATCCAATTTATGTCGATGATAATCAGTGAGAACAATCCGTTGTCTGTATATTCATTAGTCTATGCCTATAGTCTAGTTGGCATCACTGTAAACATCTGTTATTTTGTCAATGTTAACAGTGCAATGTTATTCACTTTCATTGAGAGCTTTAACAACAGCAGAATTTTTGAATTCCCAACAGCTGTACGATTAGCATCACATCAGCTGTTGTTCATGTCATCTCTGCCGAATACTAAAGTTCTACTAAATTTAGTACCACAACGAAAGTGGATGGGAAAGGAAAATGTCAAAAACATATATTATACAAGTCATATGAGGAGAGATTTGTGCAAAAATAGCAGCAACAACCTTATAATGAATGCGATAAAAACATACCAAAGAATAATAAAAACAGAGGGAAAAAGAAATAAAAAATAAGGGACACACAAGCGTAGACACTCCAACATTTTATATGAATCTCTCTGACAAAACCACCACCAATTAATGCAATGACATAAAAACAAAAACAGCAACAACAAACTTGCCGAGTATCGATTAAGTGGGAACAAAGAATGATGCCTGTCTGGCTCCCAATTTCAAAGCTGAATCTTAAGGGAATTACTTTTTGTAAACAAAACATAAAATATTCATGCTTACATCATCCTCGAAACCATCAATGATTTCAATGTCCTCCGGCTCGAAATAATTCTCACGAAAATCGGCATTCATACGTTCTCCCAGCAGAAAATCCTCGGTAGCACTGCTGGCTGCTCCCTGGGAAGATTTGATGCCAAACGAATCGATAACCTCAAAAACTTCCGATGATGCCTCTATGGCAGCAAAATCAATTCCGGCTCGTTGCATTTTTTGTATTATTCTTCGTCCTCTTGGTGTTGTGGTGGCTGTGGCACTTAAACTAATCTGGTCAACTTCGTCCAGTGGCTGTTGTTCTCCGCCTTTGTCTTCTGCTAGCTGACTTGTCACAAAATTGGCACTTTTGTATTTTATTGTTGTTGGCGTATCACTCGCCGTTGTCGTCGCCTCTTTGGCAATTTGTTTTTCACTTATCCCGTTGTTATTGGCCGCCCGATAATCACGGTAGTAGTAGTCCAAATGGAAATCACGCAAATACTGATGGTACAGCAGTAGCCGCTTTCTGTATCTCAGATACTTTAGGGTTCGCTGGTAGTCGCAATTACAACGCTGGAAGGCATGTGTAAAGACGTACAGATCGTTTAGTGCACTGCACAGGCAGTAGATTAAAGCAGCCATAGTGGTTGAATGGTGAGGTGGCGGGGAAGTTTGGGACGTAGATAAAACGGTGAAGAGAACGTATGTGCGGTTGACGGCCACACTTTCAGTTATTACGTTTTATTTTTGTTTACTTTCCTTATGTGTGACGTTTTATCAACGAGTTTGTTATCGTCTTTTTCTTCTGTTTTTTTTTCTACACTTCAATTCACAAATTATCAGCCGACATTCTCTTTTCGTTATCCGTGGTTAGTTTTGTTGTTGTTGTTGAGTAGTTTTTTTGCTGTTATCTTTCAAAGATACTGACCACTCTCATTAAAATTGTGAACTAAAAACACACAGTATCTGTTCGAAAGTAATATGAAGCATACTTTTAGGCATTTGTTGATAAGGAATGGGGAAATTATGTTTGTATTTAGTTTCCTTATATTAGGTTTGTTATTTCTTTTTGTATCCTTCCTCCATAAAGAAGAGGGTACCTTAAATTAGCCATTCCGTTTGCAAAAGCTTTTTTGGAGGCCCTTTTAAGAATATATATTTATGTTCATCATTAAGAATATATATTTATGTGATCATGAAAGAGCACATTTTATTAAAGATGGTGCTTTGAAATATTCACCCATTTTTTTTTCTTCCTATTATTAGGTGTTGAAAATTCTTTATATCGGTCCATATATAGCCGTACCTCTTAATTTTTTGTGTGTTTGAATGTTTTGGTCCCAATTTCCCGAAATAGGGAGTTCCTCAAGGAACTTCAGCTGGCATAGTGATCGTAGCGTATGCGGATGATTGTATGATCGTATGCATCGGGCCCAATGGTTGTTGACATATGTGAATGGTTGAACACTTTCTCGCGGAACTTGCCGCATAATACCACGCGAGGAATATAATAATACCCGCCACGAAATCAAGGGACACACTCTTTACCACATGGTTTGCGGAAATGAGAACACAGCTGAATGTGCTGGTCTAGGGAAATTTAATTACGACATACCGACCGAAATTTAATACGGACCACGAACTACCCCAACATTCTAGAGGTTACATTCGACAGCATGTTCAAGTCATCAGCGCAAGTCAAAGCTGTCTTTGTCAAGATTAAAAAAGTAAGGACAAGATGCTCAGCACTTGGGGTGCGGACCAGAAACTCTTGTTGACCTCTTATAACGCGATAGGTCGGTTTGTGGTCCGCTATGTGGCTCCAGTGCGCTACCCAGAATGCTGTCCTGAGAACTGCGATACTCATGAAACAATGCCTACTCATGAAAACAGTGCATCATCTACATGAGGAGGCGAAAGTCCTTTTGAAAGTCCCTTTCATCAGCATAAGCATATGCTTCCATTTCGGTATCTATTTGAGTTTTATCGTGGGAGTCATCCCAACCTTCATATGGTGAATATAATTCCCCCACCCAGACGTATCAGGAAGAACATACATGATCTAGAGAGGGAGGTCCAAAGATATAAGAGAGAACCTCTAGATTAAGAAGCCTATCAGGCAGATCTGAGTGGCATTCATATCGATGCAGTCGCAGATGCTATCAGCAATTACAGCTGAAGAACGTCTGCTGCCTAGGCAAACCAAAGTAACGCTGGCGCATTTACGTTCAGGATGGTGCAGCCGTCTCAATTCGTACTGAGCAAGAATTGACGAAGATGTGAGTGATGTCTGCCCGGGTTCTCAAAAGGTATTTTAACTCCTCACAAAAAATATGTGGTGAAAGAAATATTAAATGAAAGGTCTAGTTTCGATTCCGGATTGACTTCATAGAATCACTTTCTGAGTCGATTTATGGATGTTAGTCCGTCCGTCCGCTCATCCATGTATTTTTTTTTTTTTTTTTTGATCAAAATGCAGGTCGCATTTATTATCCGATTAAGATAAAATTTTCCAAACAATATTTGTTTGGCACAAGGACGAACCCTATTAAAATCAGAAATAATCGGTCAAAATTTAGATATAGCTTCCATATATATCTTTAACTTATTTCGGGTTAATTGTGAACCAAATGACCAATATCAGTCCTGCCTGCTTTTTGGCACATCCGACCGGATTCAGTCTAGAAGTAAGAACATTAAATTTGATCAAAATCGATTCAGATATAGTTATAGCTGCCATATATATGTTTCATTCGATTTAGGGTTTTGGGTCCCTCACATGCGTAATATGTCCTCCACAAGAATGATATTTGTTACCATATAATTCATGGAGCTCAAAAATGTCTTTGTTAAATTTTATCGAGATCGGATCAGATTTTGATATAGCTCCCATTTCAATTTTATTGTGCGCCAAATATTTAATATTCGTCCAAATAGGATGTGTTTCAGCACATCCGACTGAATCCAGCCTGGAAACAAGTACTTCAAATTTGGAGAAAACCGGTTCAGATAAAGCTATAACTCCCATTTATGTTTCATCCCTCATATGCGTAATATGCATTCCACAACAATAATCTTTGGTAGAAGATATCAGATACAGCTCAGAAATAGGTGTTTTTATCCGATTTTTTTGTGCATCAAATGGCTAATATCAGCTCAAATGAACTGAATTTTGGAATTTTCCGTGGGAATTCAGCCTAAAAGCAAAAAAATCAAATTTTGGTGAAAATCGGTTCAGATATAGCTATGGCTCCCATATATGTGTCTCATCCGATTTGCTGTTAAAGCCCCTCAAGTAATAAGCACTCCACATCAATGATCTTTGATACCGGGCATCAGATACTGCTCGAAAGTATATCTGCAAAGTATCACGTATGTTAGAAACGGAATCGCATATTTAAATTCTTCAATTTAAAAAAAATCCAAAGTAAGTGTCATGATATTTTGTCCAGATACTGTGTTACAAAACGAGTAATTTTCTTAGCTTAAGTTAAACAGATGAGAGCATATTGCATATCTTAATCTCTTGTCATTTCTCCAGCTTGCCATTGCTGTATTGCTGTGTCTGCTTGCATCTGTCAGTTTCTGTTTTGTTTTCAAAATCAGAAGACTCTCGAAATTTTTACGTTAGAGAAATGAGAGTGAGAGTAAATTTTTAAACAGCTGGTTTTTCATTCGGTTACATTGACCGAGAACAAATCAATGTTAACACAATAAAATTGTTTTGGATTTTTCACTCTTGCCATTCGTTTTTTTTTTTTTTTTTGCCAAATATCAATTTTCACATGGATGATGACATTCTGATTGTAAACTCCGTGTGTGTTTTTATTTCACCAACATTAAAATTGTTTACATCACTCTTGTTCAAAGCTATTCCCGAAATATTTTTTTAGTAGTTATTGCTCTTGTATTATTTACGATGAATATTCTCTCCGAAATTTCTTCGCTTATTTAAATTTTAATTTATAGATAGGCCAAACGACAATATTCTACCGACAAACATTTTATCCATTTGACTTTGTGCGTCTAACTAAAATAGCTTCTAACACGCTTTCAATGAAATGCTTCGGCTCTTTGATTTTTCCAATGCTTTAGCCGGCTGAAATTTATTGACACACATGCTGACGAGCGTTTTGTTTTTGTATTTGTTTTTATTGGGTCGCTCATTCGCTAGGTATGTCTGTTGTTTGTGATAGATAGAAATTCTCTTTTAGGTGCATATAGTTGCCAGATTTAGCGTTGGTAGAATGATTTTTATACCCTCCACCATAGTATGGTGGGTATATTAAGTTTGTCAGTCCTTTTGTAACAGCTCGAAATATACATTTTAGACCCCACAAAGTATATATATTCTTGATGAGCATAAAATTCTATGTCGATTTAGCGATGTCCGTCCGTCTGTGGAAATCACTCTAACTTCCGAACGAATTGAAGTAGATTGATACAATTTTACTCAAATGTATGTTATGTCTTCAGGACTTTTCAGGTGTTGAAAATGGGCCATGTAGGTCCACGTTTTGATAAAGCCCCCATATAACGGTACCTCCCGATATTCGGTATTTTGATGATTTTAGCGACATTATTCACCGGAATTCTTTCAAATTTGGTATTTGATGTTCGTAATGGATGCTACAGCCTATGACAGAAAATTGTCTGTGCCGGTCCACGTCTTCGTATAGCCCCCATATAACGGTACCTCCCGATATACGGCACTTTGTTGATTTTAGCGATATTATTCACCGGAATTCTTTCAAATTTGGAATTTGATATTCGTAATGGATGCTACAGCCTATGACAGAAAATTGTCTGTGCCGGTCCACGTCTTCGTATAGCCTCCATATAACAATACCTTCCGATATTCGATATTTTGATGATTTTAGCGACATTATTCACCGGAATTGTTTCGAATTTGATATTTGAAGTTCTTAATAGATACTACAGCATAAAACAGAAAATTGTCTGTGCAGGTTTACGTCTTCGTATAGCCCCCATATAATGGTACCTCCCGATATTCGGCACTTTGTTGATTTTAGCGACATTATTCACCGGAATTGTTTCAAATTTGTTATTTGAAGTTCGTAATGGATGCTACAGCCTATGTCAGAAAATTGTTTGTGCAGGTCCACGTCTTCGTATAGCCACCATATAACGGTACCTCCCAATATTCGGTATTTTGACGATTTTAGCGTCATTATTCACCAGAATTCTTTCAAATTACGTATTTGGAGTTCGTTATGGGAACTACAGTCTGTGACAGAAAATTGTCTATACAGGTCAAGGTCTTCATATAGACCCCATAATCAGTACCTCCCTTTATTCGGTATTTAGACGATTTTAGGTACAATACCCACCGAAATTGTTTGAGATGTCGTATTTGAAGTTCGTAATGGATGCTACGGCCTGTGACAGAAACTTGTCTATGCAGGTCCAGGTCTTCGCACAGCCTCCTCCCTATATACGATATTTTGATGATTATAGCTACATTATTCACCGTTTATTTCAAGTTTCGAATTTGAATATGGTAATGGCTTATGACAAACAATGCCTATGTAGGGCCACGTCGTATAGACCCCAATATAACGGCTATATCTTAGCTAAAATCTTAGCAGAATTTTTTAAGGATTTTATTTTTTGAAAGTTTCGAAATTCGTTCCAAATGGTGAAGGGTATTCAAAGTTCGGCCCGGCCGAAGTTATAGTTTTTTTACTTGTTTATAACCAAAACCAGGATGTTAATTAAATATCCATATTATTTTTGGGTGCTTTGTACATAGATATATTGGATATATTGATGGTTAAACTTCCTGACGGAAATTTATCGTTATGCATAGGGGCCTCTAGACCCTGCTAGACCAGATATGTAGGGGTTTTTGTAACATGTTTGTGCCCGCCACCATAAAGTGAATAATAAATTAATTTTCTAATTTCGTTTGTAACATAT